AGGCGGTGGAGCAGTACCTACGGCACTTTGTTCAGTACCGACAGGACAACTGGGAACCCCTTTTGGCGACGGCAGAATTTGCGTACAACAACAATGATCACGTCTCAATTGGAGTCTCACCGTTCAAGGCAAACTACGGTTTCAATCCTTCATACGGCGGGATCCCATCAAGTGAACAGTGTCTACCGGCGGTTGAAGAGCGACTCAAACAAATTGATGAAGTCCAGTCAGAACTCAAGTTATGTCTAGAAGCAGCTCAAGAATCGATGAAGACCCAATTCGACAAAGGAGTAAAGGACACCCCAATTTGGAACGTTGGCGAGGAGGTTTGGTTGAACAGCAAGAATATTTCGACAACAAGACCCAGCCCCAAGCTGGACCACCGATGGCTGGGACCATTCCAAATTTCTAAGAAAATATCCCAATCTGCGTACAAGCTGACTTTGCCATTATCCATGCAGGGTGTTCACCCGGTGTTTCATGTTTCAGTACTGCGGAAGCACAACCCGGACACCATCGCTGGAAGGCGCCATCCATCACCAGAACCAGTACAGGTCAACAATGAGGAGGAGTGGGAAGTGGAAGGCGTACTGGACTGTCGGAGAAGGGGGAGGAAGGTCGAATACTTGGTCAGTTGGAAAGGCTTTGGACCGGAGGAGAACTCGTGGGAACCCGAGGTCAACTTGGAACACTGTCGAGAACTGGTCGCCGAATTCAACATCAAGTTTCCGGATGCGGCGTCAAGACACAAGAGGTCACGGAGAATGAAGTGAGAGGGCAAGCTTTTTCCCACTGGGTTTTTTAACGCTGCCCAGGGAAAGAATGCAGAGCCAAAAGAGGAGGAAATTTTTTTATTTTTATTTTTTATCCATAGTTAAATTTTTTTTCTAGAGCAACAACGGGGGCGGCTTGGGCATTAAAGGGGGGATAGTGTTATGCTCTCCCCAGAACACCCATAACAGAAGAACGAGCATTTTTAAGAAATGATGGGTTTTTCAAAACCAGTCAATTGAATTATGGTGGATTTGCCTATATTTTACACCCCTATTAAAGAGTATGCCATGAGTTGTACTTGTATGTACATTACATGTGATAAATAAGCCCAGGACATGATTTGTGGATAGCTGTGGAGTGACATAAATTGTATATGCTCATGAAACTGTGAAAAGATTTCATATTGCCAGTACAGTTAATCTCTGGTTGAGACTCTTTTCAACATTTCTCAAGTTCAGAAATCTATTGCCACAATTTTGACATATAAAATAAAACATACAAGAAGAGACTATTTGCCAACCTGTTTGGATTCCCAGCACTTTATCCTTTCTCAATTGACATTCCAGAAAATGTTTATTTGTGAATGCATAGTTTTTAGCTTAGCTCTTTTTCAAGTTACCATTTTGGCACCTCCTCCCTTAAGAACAGCTGAGTTTGGAGATTCCTCAACTCCAAAAGGTAAATGACTTTCTTCTTCTGATCAATTTTTTTAACTTTGGCATTGATTGTTTATTTGAATACCTTTGATTAAATTTCCCATGAAATTCAACAGGAAATTCCCTTGTGGAAGATAACAGACAAGTGCTTCAAAGTTTGAATCAAAATTCCTGGGAAGTAGGACCTGTCTGTTCCTTGGGGCCGGGCACAACCACAGAAGCACAGAGAAATAATGTTAAATTAAGGGGCAAATTATCTGCTGTCTCAAAATTTTTAGAAGGTTGGATTCCAACCAATAGAATAGCTTATAAGGAATGTAAGTAAATTCCAAAGGTCCTATAGTCAGATGAAGATTTATTAAAACAGGATAGTTGTCATCATGAATACTATTATTCTAATATATCCTACAATAGGAGTGACCTTGCTGAAGACAGGAAGATATTTCAATATCTTTGGGGAGCTGTTGACCTCCTCTTCAAAAATGAAGCAATCAATCAAGATCATGTTGAGCAAATTTTCCAAGCAGACAAAAGTTTGTGGATGGCAAGCCGTGATCACATAATTTATCTCACAAAGATATTGGGAATAGATATACAAGAAGGAATTTCAAATATCCCAGAAATTTGCATATGGAAAATGGGTTATCAATTTTTCAATGGTCAGTTTTTCATCAATTTTTTTTTGTAAAAAAAGGAACACAGTTCTCCCAGAAAATCACCAGATTTCAGATTTCAGACTGATTACTTTCTGTTTCTTTTTCAACAATTAAAAATCAAAATCAGTTTTTAGTAAGGAAACTTGGCTGATGGTCAGCCTTGAATTATCATTTTACAATCTGAAATGGAAGATTCTCAATGAACCTGAATATGCAGACTGTGCAAAAGACAAAGAATTCACCACTTTTTTCAATTCATTTTCCATTGAGCATTATTGCAATATGTTAGAACATGACCAAAGAAGAACCCCACAACCACTATCACTGGATGCTGATCAAAAGAAAGTTTACAACAGTCTAGAAATTCCAGAGGAATACAAAATTGATGTGAAAAATCTTAAGAATCTTCTAATTTCAACATTAAGGCAAGAGAATGAAATGATGTATCAACTGACACGTGACATCTGTGAAATTTTGGATATCATTGAAAGTCATTTATTCCCAGGAATCATCAAGAAATCATTTTCAATCAAAGATAAAAATAGACCCATTTCTAGTTTGATGAAGCATACTTTTTCAATAGGACAAACAAAAAAATTAAAAGAAATCAAAGATTTCCAAGAACTATTACAGTCACTCTGTGCCCTGTCTAGATTTTAATATTATGATTATATTCATATTTATTTGTCAAAAAATGCAGAAAAGTACAAAGAAGTCTCCAGAGTTCTTGAAAAATACGGAGAAGATAGATCTGTACAAATGAGATCATGGACATCTGTTTACCCAAAGGATAATCCAGAGTTTTACAAATATGATCAAGCATTCATGAACTATGTCAAAAACAAAATTCCTTGTGAAACTTAGGTTTGTTTTACTTCACAGATCAAATCTTTCATTATGAATCTTTATACTCATGAAAAAATAGAAACAAAAATCAATAAAATATTCCTTTCATACAAAGTTTCTTGGATACTTCCCTGATTATGATTTTTTATCGGATCCTATTTTTTTTTCTCACCTTACACCTTTCAATTTAAACATCATGATGAGTTCTTTCATTCTCCTTCCTCTTTGGATTTTGAATTTTTTCAAATATGTTACATTCTATTTGGTTCTTTTTGGTTGGATTTCCTGAGATTTTCATATTTATCTAATCTTTCCAAAAGTGATTTATTGAAATTTGGTTTAGTAAACCAAGATTTGCACAAAAGTGAAGCAAGAATTTCTCCAAGGTTTTCTACATTGGAATTAGATCTCACAGAAGGTGGTATGGTATGTATGAATATGTGTCACTGGAGGACCCCATTTCAAATACGGTGGCATGACCAAAATGCATGCCTAACTGTGTCTGTTTCAAAAACCCACACAAACCTTAAGGCAGCAAACCTAAGTCCCTAACCTTTCCTTCATTTTCCTTGACAAGGGACCTAAGACAAGCAACAATTCAAGGGCCAATAAGGCCTATATGTTTTGTCTTGTTTATTTCCCTGCTGAAGGGATATATAAATGAGAGTATTCATATTTTGAAAATGAAAGGTAAAAAAGTTTGGAACTTTTCTTTGTTTCATTTTTTTATGATCAATTTTTGGGACCTATTCTGCACCACTTGACAAAGTCTCATGACTTCAATTTTTGGTTTTGAAGCTCTGGGATCCGAAACAAGCAGCCACCTTTCACCTCCTACACACTGTAAAATGATATTGCTTTGTTGTGTTTAATGCATGATCAAACATGAGTCAGAATTTTATTGATATTTTAGTTTGCTTTTGACTTGATGTGTATAATCAATGTGTCTTCTTTAATTTAGGATGTGAGATGAGCATTAAGCTAACTTTCCCAGAATTCAAGGCCTTAGACAAAAGCTCAGAAAGCACAAAGCACAAACAATTTAAAAATAAATGGAGAATTGAAAATTTTGTGGCCCCTCATGTTGTACCTCCTGCTAGTAACACAATGAAAGAATAAAGCTGTTTGATTAAGTTGTCTCCACTCTTCCAAGTTCTAGAATCTTTACAATCAATCCATTCTCTTGTTTTTTCTTTCTAATTTGTCCATTCTCTGTGGGTTTTCAGTGAATCTCATTCACCCCTACACCCAATAGATAGTGTAATTTTTGTAGAATGTATTGATCATCTGATAAGATTTTGTGTTGCTGGTGTGATCACAAACTTAATTGAGTTGGAATTTTACTCTTTGATGTATGTCTCTTTTTCCCCAACATGTAAATTTTTTTTCACCAATGTCTTGTCTAATTTCCTATTCATTAAGCATCAAAATCTGCTCCCACAACTTGTGCTTTTTTTTATCTAGAATATTTCAGACACTCTAGATACTACGGAATGAATTGGCATCAGTTCTTCCTTGTATTGATCCTGTGACAACACTTTAGCCTCCCTCAGTCTTAACTTGAGGGCGCTTGAGTTCTCTCAAATAAGTTAATAAGCTACTTTTTCAGACTTTGTCTTCAATTGACTTTGCTAATATTTCCCCCATTTCCCATATTTCATCAAATTGCCATCAGTTTGCCACCATCATCAAAACTTCTTTCCACACATCAACACATGTTTACCATCACACAAGTTATCAACTAACAATCATGAAGAATTTCAACTGGTGTTAATACAATTGAGTTTGTCTATCTAGGCTTGCTCTTTTGAAGCTCCAGATCTAGTGTGTGTGGCAGATGTTTTAGGCTTAGCTATTCCTTGCCTTCTCTTTATTTCTTTCATTTATCACTTTTTCCTGTTCTATTTAGCATAAAACTTCTCAGCTACGAATGCTATCTAGCAACCATACAGCATAAATAAGTGTGGCTCAAATTGAGTAATAAGTTTTGTGGAAATCGTACTACTTATATACCCAAATTTTCTTGAAAATAAAATACATTTGATACAACAGATAATTGTCTTTTTCATTGAAATTTCAACCAAAGTGTCCAATAGTTTGAAGGAAAGACAAATGGGTCACACAAAAAAAGAGTCCGTTCTGCAATCATACGAGTTCAGCATCGATAAAAGACCATACCCAGCAAGGTGACCAATTCGGGCTGTTAAGCAGGCATAGGAATCAGGACATTTTGTTTTTAAGTTTCCATTCAAATGATTTCGGACTGTCAGGGACATACCAGTGGAGCACCATCGATGCATGAAAGAGTAAAAGTCTTGATCCCATTGACAGTGTCAGGACCCACCCAGTTATCGCGCCGAACTTGAACTGATGCCCAATCGAGCAAGATTCAGTGGTCATGTTTTTTTTTTTTTTTTTTTTTTTTTGCGCGCGCGGCTGCATTGGTGATCTGAAGAAAGAGAAAAAGAGAGAGAGACGTGTCACTCACATCTGAGCAGGCCTACCAGTTGGGAAGGCTGACCCGCGGCCACCTTATAAATTCGACCTCCTTTGTTTGTACGATTTCGTTCAAACTTGTAGTATTCCCGGGCACCTGCGCCATCGGAATAGAAGTTGAAGCGCCAGAGAATTTTGCCAAATGTACGTGAATTGTCATACTTATATTCTCGCTTCGGCAAGTTGTCTTTAGCAGCGGGACCTCGGAGCTGGGCATAGTGTGTCTTTAATCTGCATTGGTCATCGCTCTGTGGGGTTTGGTAGGAGAAGGATAAATCAAGACTGGTTAGAATCGTGCTGGTCATTCATTGTCTGAGTGGTCACAAGACTGACCGAGACCATAGAAAATATCGGTTTGAGAGATGGGTCCGCGATAGTGACCGTGTTCTTATATTGGGATGGGAAATCGTACGCTTTCTCGAAAGTGTAAGCAACTTTCCCTTTCGCATCGAGGACCTGCAGATAGGGTTTCGAAGGGTCCGTATATTCTTTAATGATATAATCATTAGGAACGTTTTGTGCATGTAGGGTAAGAGGAAAGGACACCAGTAGGGTGATGGAAGCGAGTGCGCTTAGGAATTGCATTGTTAGGTAAGGTCGTGTGGGCTGAAGAAACGCCGTCTGCTTGTACAAGGCTCGATGATTGAGAGCTATTGGAGCAGGCTAGGCAGTGATGCTGGAATTAGGATGACTGAAATCCGCTGAAAGGCCAAACTGAATAGACCAACGTGCCAAGAAGTGATCAGGTGACGGAAAAGACCAAGGAAGTATATAATGAGCCGTGCATCCTGGACATGGAGAAAGCTTGCGGGTTTTATACGTACCCGAGACACCATGATAGCAAGCAAGAGTGAAGAGCTCACAAGCGGACAGCCCAATCAATGTCAACAGGCCACCATCGGTTGGGCCATTAACGATACGAAGGCCGATTGGCTCTTCAAACAGAATTCCAAAGTTTTTCAGTACTTTCCACGATGAGAAAAACCCTCGAAAACGGACCCTCTTCCCTGTCGAAGGCAGTGGCGCAATTCACAACCCCTGGAGCCGGGAGGGAGGGGGGGGGTGGATTTTTTTAACTTATACTTTGAGTATATCCACGTTTAGTTGCTGAGGGCTGAACTTGAAGCCTCAGCTGGTAAAGAGCCCCGAACTTAACCAAGCCCCTATTCCCTTCTCTCAAGGAGTTAGGCTCGAAAGAGCCCCGGCCCATGGGGCTTCGTGTTAGGCGTTTAGCGCCTCTCGGTCTCGTCGGCCAGCGACAGCACTTGTGCTGAATTCGGTGGGTTGGGTTCCCTGGTAAGCCTCTGTAACTGTCCACTTGCTTCTACACAGTAATGCAATAGTAAAAAAAAAAAACAGTTCAACGGTATCAAGTAAACAGAAACCCTTTTACAAAAACCTAGGGAGAATTGGACGAGGGCAAACGAAGCGCAATAATTAGAACTCCAAGTTCGGCCTGCTACTCTAATGTCCTCACTGCTCTCCGTCCCACCGGAATTGCAGCCACCCATTTGTTCCTTCGGCGCCGCACACGCCGGCCATCGTATCATCAAGGCCATCCGGGGATGTCATCCTAGACACTGGTATCCTCGGGAAGCTTCCTTGTCCTCGCCTCGCAGCTTAATGCTCGCTGGTACAATGCACCTGAAAATGATACAAAACAAACCATGGAGTCTGCATATGCTTGAGGAGGGCTAATAAATACCGGGGCTCTCATGGGCTGGTCAGCTGACAACTGGCCCTCATTGATAACTGTTGGAGTTCCTGCATGCTAGACTAGTTCATGCAGATTGTAATTTTATTGAATATGTGACATCTTTTTGAATCTTCTTGATCATCAGATTTTTTCTAGATTAAGTTTGTCTCAGCTTTTCCAAAAGTGAAGCATTGAAAGTTCCTTCTCCCGTCAACCAAGATTTTGACAACAAGAAAGTTGGTCAAGGTTTCTCGAAAAACTCTAGCAGTTGCTTGCTTATAGTATAGGAGCAGCACTCTACGGGCACAATTATCCTGAAGTACTGTTGTCACTAGAGGAGCCCATTTCTCTCCAAAAAGGGAACTTAGTCTGAGTGGCGCAGCAACCTGTGTCCACCTGAGTACACTTCAAACACCCGTACAAAATTGGACAAAGAGCGAACTTAATTTGCCTGATTATGAGCCTGAGATAAACCACGAGTGAAGGGCTAATGAAGACTATTTGATTGCTCTGCTGGAGGGATATATATATGAGGATTCATATTTTGAACATGAAAAGAAAAGGAAAAAAAAGACGACAATAGGACCAAAGAGATGAAGAGAGACAGAGAAAGAGAAAGATATAGACAAAGATCGCAGGTCAGCAGAGGAAGTGGAAAATAGATAGACAAGGGAAGTCAAGGGATGACAAAAAGTAGAACAAGGCTTGAATCTCTATTGTATAACTGACAAGCACAAGTCTCCTCTGTCAAAACAAAACAAAAAAAACGTAAGATAAGGAGTGAGACATAACAAAAAAAAAACATGATGGAGACCGATTTTATGGGGCAATGGAATAAGAGAGACACAGACGGCTTAGAAAGAGAAAGAAGAGGCTACAGTGCCAACCAACAAAGGAACCATAGAAAGTTTGGAAAGAAAAGCTGATTGATTCTTTTGGGGGGAGAAGGAGGATTTTAAGCCTTGGTAGAGGAAGGGTCGTCGGGGTTGGCGCTTTCTAAGAGCTTGGTGATCTTTCCAATCGCAATCGTCTTCCCTTCGTCTCGTAGAGTGAATCGCCCCAGTTGAGGATGATCTTTGAATCTATATATTCGTACAACCAAGAGGATTACAATTAAAATTTCAGAAACCGACTATGGCTTTGATTTAAAAAAAAAAATATAAAGAGATAGTAATGACTAACGTTTCCACACAGATCGGCGCAACGGTCTCCAAGAGGGCGACGACCTTCATGCCCTTCTTAGCGAACTGAGGGGGCCTCCTGGACTTCTTACCAGTCTTCTTATCGTAGTAATGGAGGAGGGCGGAGAGGGTGCATTCCTCGGCCAAGGTGTGGACATGCATGACGGCGCCGTATCCGGCACAGATGATGTTCTTGGAATCGATGATGGCTAGTTGGGCTTCGAACCGGGTCACCGTGTGGATCGGCTTGTGCGCATCCGTCAGCACAAAACCACACATCTGCTCACACCATCCCCCACATTGTGATTCGTTAAAACATAGAATGTCAAGTCGGTTAGCAATCATTCATCTTCTCGACGTTCATGTAAGCATTGAGATCCACTGACAATATCTTCATCTTCAATCCCTTTGAGTCTAATCCGAACGTTATCACCACAGAGTGCTCGAGGAATCTCGTCCTCCATCTCGTTATAGATAGCAGACACTTCAGCGGAAGTCTATCGAGTGTCACAAAGAAGAATGACGTCAACATCAATCGCTGACAGACATCTCTCAGCAACAAAGCGGGAAGACAAATGTACCTTGTTGGGCATCATGAGCACAGATTCGCCTTTGGTCACTTTGCCAGATTCCAACTTGCCCACCACAACCGCTCCCATGTCCTTGTATTTCTCCGAAATTGGCATCATCAAGGGGGCGTTATACTTGCGATCGGTGAGCTTCATGTTGTCCAGCAGCTCGAGAAGAGAGGGTCCCCTGTTTTGGGTGGAACAATGTCAGCTCAGCTGTTTCGTCTGATGTCAAAGCATGAAGATTCAAAGAAAGGCAGACGCACTCATACCACGAACACTTATCCTTAGTAAGTCTGTCCTTAATGTTCGCTCCCGTGTAACCCGAGACAGGGATAAAAGTGATATCTTTGGCAGGATTGAAGCCAGAAAGTCTGAGGAAAGGGGTCAGTTTATTGACGATCTCGTCGTATCTAGCTTGGTCCCATTCGACGGTGATGTCGTCCATCTTGTTGATGACGACGACCAGTTTTGAGACCCCGGTAGTTTTGACCAACATGGCATGTTCTCTAGTCTGACCCCCACGTTCGAAGCCGGTTTCGAATTCGCCCTTCCTAGCGGAGATGACGAGGATGGCGATATCGGCCTGACTGGCACCGGAGATCATTGCCGGAACATAAGTCTTGTGGCCAGGGGCATCCAGGATGGTGTATCTTCGGGCATCGGTCTCGAAGTACGCCCGCCCGATCTCGACCGTCTTTCCTTGGGAGCGTTCTTGGATCGTCGAATCTAAGGCCCAACTGAGGTACCAGGACTCCTTCCCAGCATCTTTAGCCTCCTTCTCTAGTTTCTCCATCGTCCGCTTGTCGACCATCCCCGTCAGATAGAGGATGTTCCCGCCCATCGTCGATTTGCCCGCATCGACATGGCCGATAAACACTAGGTTCGCATGCGGCTTGCCATCCTCTTTAACGTCATCCTTCTTCGATTCGTACAAGTCTCGCAGGGTCTCTTCGTCTACAGCTGCTTCGACCTCCTTCTTGATCGCATCAGCATCGAGCACTGGGCGACGGGCGTCTCCAATCGTCAATGTCTTAGTGGCTGCATCCAATGTTGCTTCGACCGCAGGTGTACTGGCAGGAACTGGATCGGCTGAAGGGGGGTCAGGAGTTCCACTTTCGGTGGGTGGCGTAGGTGCTTGAGACTTAGTTGAACTACCGATGGTGATGACTTTTTTGGCTTGTGTTGAAGATTGTGAGCGGGCGGTTGATGAGACCTTGGAGTCAGTCGCAGGCTTGGCTACAGGAGCCGGGGCAGGGTCTTTCTTTTTCCCAATGTTTAGCGAAACCACTGCCGGCTTGTCCGAGTTGGCGTTCATCTGTTTGAGCCGGGTGGTAGAAGAGATCGACAAGGTCTTGGCACCATTGCTGTTGACTGTGGCAGTAGCTTCAGATGATGCCTGAGGCTGCTGAGTAGGCGGACGAGGGGGTGCTTCTTCTTCCCAGTTATCAGGGGCCTGCTGTTGTTGCTGCTGTTGATGATGATGGTGACGGTTGTACTGAGATTGAGGTTGTTGATGCGGATGTTGGTAGTACTGTTGATGAGCTCCATAGCCACCGGGGTACTGGTATTGTTGCTGCTGTTGATGTTGATGATGAGGTTGATGGTATTGTTGATGATAACCATAGTTTTGATGTGCTCCTTGCTGCTGGTAGTTCGGATGGGCGTTCCCGTAGCCCTGTCCAGGGTAGTAACCGGGGTAGGGGGGTTGGCTTCCGCCATCTTGAGCAGGATGCTGCTGCTGCTGCTGCTGGGGGTTGGACGAGCCAGGTGGTGGGGCACCTCCTGGAACGAAGGTATTGGCACCAGGCCGGAAGCCCTGGAAGGAATTGGCGTTCGGGTTCATGGGTGTGGATGGAAGTTTTATCTTAGTTTTTGTTGGTTCCTTGGTTTGCTGATGCTTGCTGGAAGGTGTCACTGTTTTTCCAAAGGAATCAAGGATGTAAGAGATTGAAATCAAGAAAAAAAAATCGATGGGTTCCCCTAGGTAGCAGTACTGAATGTGAGTCCTCACTCACCAATTGAATAAACGTATCCGCGAGACTCGGATTTCTTGGCCTATCGAGCTGAATCTACCTGGATGATGAAACTGGCATGAGCAAAGTCTCAGAGTTGTTTTCAGCTTGGTCAGTGAGTGGAAGTATACTGACTGTTTTTTGCAATGTGCAAGCGTTTTGTTGATATATCGGTTGAGTTCCCTGCGGAGGTTGGTCGATGATGTTGGCTCTCTTGGCTGGCACCCACGCCAAAGATGCACTGCGGGCAAAAGTAGTGGCTGCACTCCATTTTTGGAGCCTCGCCACCGGACTGATACGAGAGCACTGCCGCACTGGGAAGGTGCTCCCCATAGCTTCTTTAACCCTGCTGTCTGCATAAAATTGCCACACATAAATACGTATTTGTTTGTGACTGCACTCTTGTATGATTCATCATCAATGCGTCATGATCATAGGACATCACTTCTTGGGGAGACATTGGTGTGTTTGCTACTCAATGATGAGATGGTTCAAGCCCTCTGCTGTGCAACCAAAGGCTCATTTCCCAAAGTGCAAACATTCAAAAGACTTTGAAAGCTTGAGATGACGCATAGCGTCTTGCCGTGTTAAGTGAGTCTTTCATTCTTATAGACCCACTACTGGGAACTCGTCTCGCAAAATTCCTCAGTTTGATACTACTGGGAAACCATTGGAACTTGATACAAAGATTTGGGACTTCTTTCCAAGTCTTCTCGCCATAATTTGTGTCAGTATACTTGAACATGTGAAGAATCCAGCAAGTGAAGTTATCTGGTCGCGTTGATTAACCTACAGACGGCGATGGCTCGGAGTTTTTTCTCATTTTTTTTTTTTCAATTCGGTACATACAGTGACGTCTACATCAAGGAAAGGAGAATTCTGTAGGATCTGGGAAGAATCCGTATCGCTAGCGATGGACAACAGTGACGGGAAAACAAGGGGTGTTGATGAAGAAAAAAAAAAGACTAGAAAAATGATCAACATCGACGATGAAAACAGAAAAATGGGGTTTTAACAGGCCGATCGAGCAGTTTGAGAGCATCCTCAGTGCAGACTTAGATCATAGCTCGACGTTTACAAGCTGCTTTTTTCTTGGCT